TCGCAAGTAAAGTTGAGAGGGCTATTGTATGGAGTGTGGCTTGAGCTATGTTCGTAAATGGTGATGTGGATCGCAAGTCTCTCAGTGGATGCATTCCAATACTGCTGAAGTGCGTTTCTTACGGCCTCAATTTAGCCTGAATGATTGTGCACTGGACACAGCCTAAAACGTTGGATAAAAACTACTGGAGAAAAGAATTAAACTTCAACGCTAGATAGCCTATCACAACTTCTTAAAAGCGGAGCAAATGCTGTCCATACCACCTTGTTATGAAAGTTCACCCGCTTCAATCCTGAGTACTCGTCACGCCACTTTTCAACAGGAGCGTGACGGCCGCCCGCCGCCCTTCCAGGGGAACGTGACGCTGCCCACCCGCCCCTTCAACGGGACCGTGACGCCGCCTGCCACCCCTTCAACAGGAGCGTGACGCCACCCGCCGCCCCTTCAACAGGAACGTGACGCCCGCCCGCCGCCCCTTCAACAGGAGCGTGGCGCCACCCCGCCGCCCCTTCAACAGGAGCGTGACGCCGCCCGCCGCCCCTTCAACAGGAGCGTGACGCCGCCTGCCACCCCTTCAACAGGAGCGTGACGCCACCTGCCGCCCCTTCAACAGGAGCGTGACGCCGTCCGCCACCCCTTCAACAGGAGCGTGACGCCACCCGCCGCCCCTTCAACAGGAACGTGACGCCGCCGCCCCTTCAACAGGAGCGTGGCGCCACCCGCCGCCCCTTCAACAGGAGCGTGACGCCGCCCGCCGCCCCTTCAACAGGAGCGTGACGCCGCCTGCCACCCCTTCAACAGGAGCGTGACGCCACCCGCCGCCCCTTAAACAGGAGCGTGACGCCGCCCGCCGCCCCTTCAACAGGAGCGTGACGCCGCCTGCCACCCCTTCAACAGGAGCGTGACGCCACCCGCCGCCCCTTCAACAGGAGCGTGACGCCGCCCGCCGCCCCTTCAACAGGAGCGTGACGCCGCCTGCCACCCCTTCAACAGGAGCGTGACGCCACCTGCCGCCCCTTCAACAGGAGCGTGACGCCGTCCGCCGCCCCTTCAACAGGAGCGTGACGCCGTCCGCCGCCCCTTCAACAGGAGCGTGACGCCGTCCGCCGCCCTTCAACAGGAGCGTGACGCCGCCTGCCACCCCTTCAACAGGAGCGTGACGCCGCCCGCCGCCCGACCCTGTCTTCTGCAGCCCTGGCCGCGGGCCTGACCCTGTCTTCTGCAGCCCTGGCCGCGGGCCCGACCCTGTCTTCTGCAGCCCTGGCCGCGGGCCTGACCCTGTCTCCTGCACAGCACGGGTTGGGGCGTCCCGTATGAGTTCAGTCTTAGTGTCGCAGTTTGCCCAGAATGGCCGCAGCACTACCACACTATTGTCTCCCTCATTGATCCCAAGGTCCGGAATGATCAGTGATGGTTGAAAGAGCTTTAAACTAACCTAACTAAAGCAGTGAGCGAGCGTTAAGAATTCGACGAACAGCACTAGAGCGGGCTAAAGTGGACCACCCGTCCTCCATGAAGGCCGATGTCTGCTTTCAAGCGAAAATAAAACGCACAGAGTGAAAAATGACCGGCGGCGAAGAAAGACGTAGAGCTTTGGCACGGCGGAGGAGAGCTGGTTGGCGGCGTCGCCGCCGTTCGCTCTGATGCTGACGCTGGGTACTCTAAGTGCAGGATAACAAATGACGCCACCCGTACCGATCCAGACGAAACCCACCGCCGAGGTTTTGCACCTTTCTCTCGAGTTTGTGTTATGTTGATTGATGGCGGGTCTTGTTGGCGGGGGGTTTATTGTCGTGGAGGGATCGGCGTTGACGTCAGCGAGCAAGCAATACCGACTGAAGCTGTGTGGAGGGGTCGAGACGAGCTGTCATTGTGGATACAACAATCTTTCGGACTATCATCCTCGTCTGGTGTGTTAGCATCCACACGTCGCTTCAATCAGTTAACTATCTGCGGTGTTCGTGTCGTTGTCATGTCGTTGTCATGTCGTTATCATGTCAAGTGGGTTTTTTTACTACGTGAAACTTACACATCTGGATTTCATTTTCGAGATCTGATAGGGCAATCGAGGTCAGCAATCTTTGTTTTATTCTATCTCCGTAATGAAAAAAACAAGTTTGTATTATACTTTAATTAGTACACCACTTCTTAAATTTACCCTTGATGTGGGGTGTGGTCATTGTCATCAGGTAAATTTGGATTAATTATGTCTACCCCCTATCGTATTATTCCGCCCTGTCACTCATCGTTCTGGGTTGGAGAAGCAATGGAAATGCGCATTTTAAACGGAAAAGTCTGACAATTACCCGGGACGCTAACGTAGTTCCAATCAACTCAGAAAAGTCAGTAATCTGGGCAAATGAAATGTGCATGCTGGAGTCCCGACATATCGAAGCGGCCTTCCTTCCATGTCACGTATCACATGTCAACATGTCTTATAGCTGAACCACCCCAATTTGGTTACCCGCCGATATACAACTCCTCAAACCCGACTTCTCCGATCTATACGGCTCGCAGCCAGACCAAAGGGCGCCAGACCAGACCCAGACCCGACATCCCGCTAACACCCAACTCACGTGATGGCGGCGCAATTGTTTTTTGGCATTTGCCGCTGTGTCTACAGATCGATGACCCTGTGTACCTGCAGCCCGGCCTAATGAAAACGGCGTGCCGCGTAATCGGATCAGAGCGGCGGAAACCACCTGAGCCGACCCCCGCCCGGCAGGCTGGCTGTGAGCCGACCCCGGCCCGGCAGGCTGGGGGTGACACGAGCACACACGAGGCAGCGCAGCCACCTGAGCAGACCCCGGCCCGGCAGGCTGGGGGTGACACGAGCACACACGGAGGCAGCGCAGCCTGAGCAGACCCGGCCCGGCAGCTGGGGGTGCACGAGCACAACGGAGCGGCAGCGCAGCCTGAG